GCTTCGAAGTGGACACTCCTCACTTTTGTAAATACAGAGAAGTAATCACATAATTTTAAAGAATACCGGCATCATGGAAAGGATCTTAGAAGTTAGTTCTGGTAACTAATGCAAGACTGTCGTCATTATTACATTGGCTGTATAAGTAGGCCGTAATCATTCAATCAAGAATGGCCTAAATCTGAGAAAGAAGGACAATGGTGTGATTGTCTACGACATAGAATAGAGGTTGATAATACCAACGTGGTACCTGGTGTCACCGCGTAAATGTCTAAGTTGCCAAGCATTAAATCAGCACATCAAGTGAGGATGTATTAGGATGAAGGACATGAAAATACTGAAATTCAAGTAAGTGTAAATAGATGTGAGTCATTTGTATCCATACTGAGCACTGTCATACTGACCTCCAACTGGATTCTGTACATTTCCCTTCATAACTCAGATCAACAGTCAAAGATTTCGGGGACTGTGAACGTAATTCAGTTAACACTGTTGATGAGCAGACGGTGGCTAGACATGCGTAACATATGTCCAGCCACTTCACAACTGTCATTAGCTGATCTTCCTCTTTCGACTAAAATTTTACTGACAGACTAATCTTAATTAATACCGGTTTTCCACAAATAGATCAAATAACTATTATTTTGGCAAGATGAAACGAAGTAAAACACCAACAACCATTACATAGTATCAATAAAGATAAATTTGTAGTTAAATTGTACAGAGAGTTGATAAATTATGAATTTCAATTTTACCTTCCAATTACTTCAGTTTGAAAGGTACTTAATGCATTGAATTCTTCATTGAAATACTGTTTAGAAAAGTAATTATTCGAAGTAGAATCAATCGGAAATATTCTAAATTTCGAAAAGTCACCTTTTTCGTATCTAAAACTACTTACAATTTCTCCCACGCCCCCCTCACCCCCTTCTAACTTCATTTAGGCCCTAGCCTTAAGTGAAAATGAAGCTGAATAGAAAATGATTCAAGCATTCATTACCAATTATAACAGGTATGATGGCACCAGATAAGATTGATAGACAAAATATTACTAACTTTTTAACTAATAAATTTACGCATAAATGCCTTACACTAATGTGGATGAACTTTTTAACGGTTTAGTGGTTTTGTACATAAAGATTGCATACATTGTGAGTATTGTTAGTATTCATCATTTGGAGAACTATTGACAATCGGAGATATTAGTCAGCTGTTTCATCCTAATTTGGGACTGAACAGCAGTACGCACCTACAACTCCATGACGAATCGGACTTACAACCTTCATATTCGATGGTGAACGTATTAACCACTCAGCCACTTATTGGGACTTAATGATCCACAGTTTCTGATGAAAATTTAGACCACAGCCGGATTCGAGCCAGCAACCACCAAGTTTCCGGTGGTGTTAGAGTTTTTCTTAGGATACTGAATAAAAGAGGTATATCACTCAGTAAGTCTGTAAGTCCTCACTAAATGAATTGTTTGGATATGCAGTAATGATCTATAGATTTTGGTTGGCACTCAGGATTAGACAACATGAAATCGGTTGCTCTCTCGTAATCAATCAATGCACGTAACCCAGTTCTATAGGGAGTAAATCGCGACCCAAATAACTCAACAGGAACATCACCGACTACAACAATGGGTGACGCGAGTTCGAATCTCTCGAAGCTACAGATACATCTTGCTGATGAGTGCATGAAACGTTGATCGAGTAAATCTTCCTTCTGAATGATTCCATCCACCTAACATCTACATAGATGTGTAATGTCAGCTGAAATAGGAATTAACAGAGAGCAAAAATAAATGAATGTCATCAGAATAAGACATGACATCTATGTATAAAGCTTCTGAATATCTTTGGAAACTGCTTAGGAGTGACTGGTTTCAAGAATCGGCTATAAGTCTGAGTAACTAGTTGAAGACTTTATGCAGTATGACACAAAACCAGCTGAAATGGAATAAATTCAACTAACTTTTAGTCATAGTGAAATAAAAATCTAATCAGCAGTCAGGTTTCGTAGTTAAGTTTATAGAGTACAGGGCAGGTAACCTGGTGCTCATTAGTTTGAATCTCATCATGGTCCAGACTTTTGTTTCACCTTCAATCATCACCCAGTAGCAATACTAGTTTGTCGAACTATGGTTACCTCAGATAATCAGAATGATAATCAATATGATGCTTCCCCTCTCAAATTCAGTCGGTTCGGGACTGAGATGAGAAGTCCTGATTGGGCAGCCAGTGTGAGTGCTATCAAGCGGTAGTAATGTATCATGAATTCAGATGGTATGGTAGTCACCCAAAGATTATAGTGATTGAAGTGAAATAAGAATCTTGTCAGCAATTGGACCTAGTAGCTCACTTGGTACAGTAGCTAACCGTAAACCCGGTAATCACTGATTCAAATCCGGCCGCGGTCCAAGTTTTCATCTCACCTCCAATCAACACCCACTACCCAGTATCAGTAGGAGTCTGCCAAACCATGGCTATCATAGAAAGTCGAAATGATAACTTTTAGTCTACAGTATTCTATCAACTTTATCTATATTTTGCTTTGATTTCTTTCATTCTTGAATGCATATTTCTTGTCACAATTTGTTTAAAGTCAACCTTCGTATCAAAGAAATTTTGAGAACTTTCTCTAGACAACTGAAGCGACACTTTTCGATGGGGTTAAATAAAGCGTGAAAACAATTAATATTTGTCTCATATAACAACTGATAACCGAAACGAGCCATTCAGTTAGCATAACCAAGTATTCATCAAGTTCCAAATACACAACAACTATATATGGGTAGGTTTTCGTCGTCTGTACATGACTTCATCAACTGATTATGCTAAAAGTATAACCACATAAGGCAATAGAAACATTCGCTTATCTCTGGTCTTATCATGACTTCATCATGACGTAAGTAGTAAAAAATAAGCTATTGTTGCTCTCTTTTTACTTGAAACTTATTTAAACCTCATTTCTATGTCTGATTACCTAATAATTCTGTCCATTAGTTGCAGTTTTACTCGATACCACTTATTAGTACACCATTATGTAACGTGAATCTCACAGTTCAGTTGGTGGATGTACACCATCTTTTTAATTGCCGATTGATACTCCAAGTGTATGGTTGAATGCATAAGAAATTCAAGGGTTGAGTCTGATAGGACTTTAACGAAAATGTATACTTGTTTTAGTCAAACAACTTGATGTTATCAAGGTCATTTCTTGAAGGTTATTTCCTTTTTCTGTTAGTTTTATACTGTTGTTTACACTATCATTTTCATTCTTTCAAAATTTACTATGATTTTCAACCTGAGACATAAACTTTTTCCGTAATCTTAAAACAAAAATTGTTTTTTATCAATTATATTTCCAAACGAGTGTATTTATCTCGTACGCACAGTGAAGTTTCAGTCATACCGGCTCTTTAGAATCCTGCCTAATCCATATCGGTCACATAGTGAGGAACAAATCTGCCTTTTCATTGGTTCTGCAAGTAAAATACTGGATTCATGACTTTGTACGCAGAAGAAACCAGGTGACATATTCATTTGTTCTTCTGTGGTATACAGGAATCTAAATGTCACTGTTAACTTGACTTGTTGTTGTTGGTGGTGCTTTTTCTTCTGACCTGTTGTTTTTCTTGTAACTGTATGTGGTACTAATTCTTGTTCTGTTTTTGATCCCAGTCTGAACCACATACTCTTGAGCTGTCGTACCGCTTTAAAACTGCCAGATTCACTTCTTGTTTTAACTCTAATCAATGTATCTGTAAACTTATTAGTTATTTTACGCATTAATTCTCAGGATTCTTATAAATTCATGTACATGTTAGAAATGTTCAGGTATCATTGGAACGCTTTACTGAAGAGTGTCCAGAAGCACAAAAAAGTAGATTAAGCAAAGCTTTCTACCAATAGCCTCTCATCAACTTACATCCATCATAGTGCACCACGATGCTGAGCCGCATAGCTGATAGTCATATTTCAAAATGATTGACACAATTCAGTTAGCATTTAAGACCGAAATTCAATGGATTTTACAAGTATTATTACAGAAAATTTTAATTCCTTATCAATTTTCAATAGCATTTAACCACACTCAGAAGTAAACTTATGCTACTTATCATCCGTAATATCCACATCACTGGCATTGGGTGATAATCGAATTTGAAATGAAGACCTGAATCATGGCGGGGTTCAGGCCAATAACCTCTCAGTTTCCATTTTGTCCTTAACCTTCATTCAGAATCAATAAAACTAGTGTGCCAACCATGAAACCCTCAGATGGCCAAAATGATAATTATATTAGTCAGATGGAGGTAATTGACAGGAAGCCTTGTTCGATCTAGGTTTCGTCCATTTCGGCACTTGTTAGCAAGGCGTGTCTGCAACCACGATGGAACTGAAATTACCACTGAGCTATTCGGGTCACGACTGGACGGAATTCAGCATTGAGTGACGCGGGTTTGAATTTCAAGCGAAACATCACTTCCGTCGTGGTTGCAGACACTCCCTGCTGACGAGTGTCAAAATGCACGAAACCTAGGTTGAGCAAGTCTCCCTGCTGATTGCCACCATTCAAATAACACCTATCACAGTTCATCGTCATGTTGTGTCAGATAGCTTCGTGGACACATTACAATATGAAGTTGGTTGCTCTGCAGTGACCAGTCACTGATAATCATATTACTTTCAAAACGTCATTTCTGCATTACCATTTAGGCTAAGTGTATTACTTTGATGTATATTCCTAAGATGTAACATCACATACTTGTTATGTACATCCCTGTAAATTTTATTTATGATTTAATAAGTGAGTAGTCTCACCAGTATTTATGCGAAGTATAAAGTCAAGTATAATCGAGCTAACTATCCATCATGTTCTCTGCTTACCATGTACTCTTCTGTTTCCATCTTCGTATACATACTGCTATCCATAACGATAAAAATAGTTGAATCTTAAAGCGAGCAAACAAAATATATGAACAATTATCAACTTACTAAACTTGTAGCATCTGTCATATCTGTTGATGACTTTATATTGCAAGAGTTCGTTATGTTTTCTTCTTTGGTTTCATGAATATTTTTGGTATCATCAGTGTTCCATTGTGAGTTGTCAGCTTTTCTTGACGACTGATTATGATTTGAAGGAGATGGTATAGATGACGAAGAAGAAGAAGGTGAAGAGGAGGGGGAGGGTGATGAAGGTGAATGCGGCGATTTTAATGGATTCATTGAACATTGATCATGTTTAACTAAATTCAAATTATTACTATACGGTAATTGTATTCCATCTAAACTATTCATTGTTTACCTTTTTGATCAACAGTTGAACATTGAGTAGTCATATCAATCAACGATGAATGGATTGTTTCATTCGATGAACACTTTTGCTGAATATCACCATTGAATGAAATATGATTATGTTCTTTTGAAGTAGAGCTAAGTTTGTTGATATAATCCTCATTTAGCGATCCTAATGAACATATACTACTGGTACCAGTAGCAGAAGTGGTTGTAGCAGTATTAACATTGGTATAAAGGGATAAATGATTATCAACTGGTGTGCTTAATTCAGACTTTTGTTGTTGCTGTTTAAACTTCAATGAACGATTATTCACGAGGGATGAATTTGAACGATTTGAAACTGTTCCAGATGTACACATATTTGATACTTCCACAGGATTACTAGTAGCAGAAGCAATGGCAGTAGCAGCATTCGTTGAGGTGGAACTAGAAGTATTATTAGTAATCCCAATAGTAGAATCCATGATTGATGAATGATTTTGATCTTTACTTAATTGTCGTGTAGATAATTTTTGTCCTGTTCTCTGTTGTGATGATGGTGCTGGTTGTGATAGTAAATCACACATTAGACGGCTGAGAGATACTTCTTGTCTATGAAAGCAGTTTTCTCTTCCTTTCTCCTTTGTAGGACGTTTATGTGATCAAGTTGTACAGTAGTAGTGCACGAAGAAGAAGCGTGTTATGTACAGAAATGTCACCTAAAATATAAAGAACAAGTTGTATTGTTGGGATTAATGATTATAATAACAATGTTCACAAAGTGTAGAATTCTTTGTTAAAAACATTGAAGGAAAAGCTTTAAATCCAGGTAGAATTACTCTGACAAGTGTATGATATATCTTATAATGATGATGGAGAATGTTTAACAGCGGAATCCAGGAGGTGGATTTCGTCCTAGTTGGGGCTCGTCAGCTGGATATACCTGCTTCCTAGTGGACGGTGTTCTCCAGCCCAGAATCCGTCTCTCCACTAAGCCACCAAATCACGATAGCCACTTGCGTGTATTATTCCTGGTAATATCGAAGCATCTACACAGGAGCCCATATGCCAATAGAGACAGAAAAATTTGTCGCAATTAATAACGAGATAATACAGGCAATAACATATGATGAGTCTGTTAGAAGATGAAATTCCATGGCATTGTAGATAATGCTGCGCTTATCAGCTAAGTAAGTGATTTTTAACAAGTTTATTATGCGTTGACAACCATGTCAGTGATATGGCCTACATATTCAACTTACTCCTAGGTAAATGGATTAGTATAATTATTAAATGTCTATCCAGAAGCATTAAAAGTCATGCTTTATCCCATCAAGAATATGTACATATTGCTGGGCTATGCAAACATTAAGGCTTCATTATATTGTTATTTAGTTCATGGTGTATATATCCCTTCGTCTATGAACCATGGAATGCTTAATTGAATCCTGTAACGAAAAACTGAACAGATATCAGCAGTATGATTTCTTAACAATACCTCAGTGATTAATATGGGTGTAAAACTTGGGCATTGTGGTAGAATGTAATTCCATATTATTTGATACGTAGCATACAGTGATATAGTATTACTTACTAGATGACGAGGTCTCCAGCATAAATTCTCATTGCTCACAATCATATCAGTTCAATCACACTACTTCCCATACCTGATTTTTATAGTCATGTCACCTCATATTATTTGTTTTTATTTGATACTAGTACAATTTTCCATATCTACAGCACAGGTGTTGCGTCATTCCTGTCACATATGTTGGATGTTGATTCGATGACAAAGATTCAGTAATCAATCTCTCTCTCCACCTAATCATACTAGACTTAATTAAGTACAGTAGCCTTATCCCACCCACCCTAGTGTGTGGTTGTGTGTCAATGCATGCATTATAACAGTCGAGTTTTCTCTCTAAATTATTGATCTCATTGGGGTTGGTCATTCTATATATTTGGCTAAATTCCTATGTTCCACCATTCCAACTGACGCTGACCGACTAGTTTGACCCACTTACTTGACCTTATAGTCATTGCATGGGAGTTGGTAGATCAGATTATTTTGCTCAATTGGTTCTGTAGGATCCTTAAGCCAGCTGACAAAGCTTATCTCTGAGTGAGTTTGTATGTTTAAATGCTATCATGATTCGAGTTTTGTTGATGATCTTACGTAGAGTTTCTGATGTTCCTACGTTGGAGGCTGTGAACTCCTTTCTACTTGTCTTGTCGTTATTATTTTTCGTACTAGCGGCACTATAAAAAAAACCAGAAAATCCTATGAATATTCTTCTGAGACTTTAGTTACCTCTTACATTATTTACCAGAAACGTTTCTAGGTAGGATGTCCTCAAACATTTTTGTTTTATCGCAATTTCGACCAAACATGTTCAAATATTTACTAGACAATAGAGTGCAATTATTGTGTAATAAATATCCAGATCTCCGTAAGTGGAGTGGAACTTAAAGCAGTTAGCTATCTAGATCAATGATTTCAAAACCTCTAAGTAGTTTCATTGTATAAGTGTAAAATTCCACTTTCGATTGTCTAACTGGTACATGGTAACTTATTGGATGACGTTTCTAGCAGAATTTGATGCGATTGTGAGCAACCAGTTCTGTTCAAAGGTTGTCTGGTATATGTATTGAATCAAATAAGTGACCCAAGTACAGTATATTGGATCTTCAGGCAATTTCGATGCATCTGCATAGGAGCCCATATGTTGACAGAGGATGATCAACTCGATCTGGTTTATCAGTGAGGGGACTACAAGCACCAATAAATAGCAAGTGATACCTGTTGCAAAAAGAAGCGGTTCTCAAGCCCTAATAGCCTAGTGGACAACACTTTGGAGTTTGAAATGTTGGGTACTGAGTTTGAATATCAACAGAAGGATTTTCATTCACTGGAATGCAGGTGTCTTGAGTAGAACAAGGCACACATTCTACTAGCAATCGCCAATCAGATTAAAATTCACACAGATTTATCTTTGTAATGCATATTACTGTGTACATAAACTTTCAAGTCGGTTATTCAAGAGATACAACTCAGTTTTTTCCTTCAATTTCACCTGCAATTACCTCTGTTGAATATTCAATCTGATCAATTGTAATCAAACTTCACTGATTAGTGGCAGAGAAATGAAACCAAATTACAACATAGGAATGACAAATGGATCTGTGTACTAGGCAACCAATTACATTCAATAAGTGAAGATTAGTATCTAATCTTTGATCTTATGAAGAAAGGCGTTTGAGCCAATGATCCTTTACTTATTTAAGCTAGTGTGCTATAGAACTCCTACATAGATAGAGATGAAATGTGTCACTCCAAGTATCTGCAATTACAATACCGTATCAAAAAGTTGACAAAACTGGGGTATCTACAGGAATTGACAAAAAGAATGGAGTAAGTCCAAGTCTGTAGGGAAGGAGAATGATCTTCAGGTAATGTCATGTCAACCAAGAACCTATCACTCAACAAATATGTAGAAGGAAATGGAGATGGATTGGATTGGGCATGCACTGAGAAGACCATTCGGGACATCACGCACCAGGCCATCGAGTGGAACCCAGATGGGAAATGGCGAGTTGGGCGTCCCAGCTGATGGTGACATGGAGGAGATGGTGTGAGGAAGAAATGAGAGCTTGTGGGCAGTTGTTGAGCTAGGTTGAAAAGATTTCAGAGAAGAGAGTGGGATGGGGACTTGCTACTGAAGCGTATGTTTCACTAGGAACCCAAGGGACAAATAATAATAAACAATGTCATGTATAGAATTTCATACACATAATAATTCAAAACTATATAACTCAATACCATATAACAAGATGTTATTGCTGATATGATCGATTTATCACTCCGTTTCTCCCTCAATTCATCTCATCATCAGTCTAGTAAGTATATTTTAAATAAAAGAGCTTCATAAAGAAGTTATAAAATTGTCATTTTTAGCAACGCTTTTTCTACATCATGTTTTTGTTTGTATTATCCCCTCGTTGATTGGACCGAATTGATCGGTCTCTGTTAGCATTTGGCCTCCTGCACGGAAGCCTCAATATTACAGTTACAAGAGTTCATATGTCAGTAGAGACCGACTAATTCAATCCACAACAACATAAAACTTTACCTATCACACAAGAAGTAGTCATCATGACTCTCTGGCTTAGTGGATAACGCTCTGGTGTTTGAAGAATCTGCTCCAAGTTCGAGTCTTGCTGGGAACAACACTACTCACTGGGAAATAGATATATCGAGCTGACGAGTCCCCAGTAGGACAAAATGTGCTTACTAGACTCCATTGCTAGACACTATCCATCATCAACTTCTTTCCAGTTCACTTGAGATAACCATAGTTTATAAATCTCAGTCTCTCGAAGGTGACTGTATCATTCCACTGATGATTGTGGAAAAGAGTTACGATCGCTTCATTTTCTCCCTACTTATCTGATACAGTCCCTCTCCTATCACAAAAGACAACATGTTTAGACTTTATAATGTAATTGTGAACTCATTCGAAGTTAGAAGAGCGCTACATTCACTTTATGACTAATCTGTACAGATAGTTGAATTTTTGCAAGCTCCAATTCCATAAAGCTACGAATTTTTTAGTATACTAACTGCTAGAAGTAATGCACAACCTGATTGATGAATGAACCATTCAATCATGTAATGGAAAAAAAAGAATTCAATGAAATTTAAAAAAATAATGACTTACAGCAAAATTATTAATTGATAATTAAAAAGCCTTTGAATTTTATTAGTTTCACAATTGACAAATTTGTATAAAAATTAAAATTCAATTACGTTACTTCAATGATTTAGCCGTTATTCAAACAATATTGAACATTGAACAGTAGGTTGAATATTTTTGCGAAATTCTTAATTCTGAGAAGAATTAAAGCGAGGCGTGAAAAAGTTTAATAATTTTGATTTGCGCTTAATTCCCACTTATGCACAGTTAATTATTACTAGTATTCCACAGATAATATGAATTATATATAGACATCTACAGAAATTCTCCCTTTTTCTTCAAATGTATTTTATCAATTTTCCTGCCACTTTAGGGATACAGTTTAATCCAGATTGGATGACAAAGAGGTGGGGTTAGTGATAATCATATTACGGCTATGGTGAAGAGATTTGTTTAATGTAAATGTCCACCTCCTTTCTATTCATCTGTATGCTAAGGCATAATTTCCAATCGGTCAGGTTTTGAATTCCTATCTATCCAATCAGAAGAGGAGATGTGTACAACACTCACGTAGACACTCACTTATACACTTCGATATTACTATTCTATTATAATCCACGTGTTTGTGTGTAATGTTACGATAAACCAACGAAATTTCCTAAATAATTTACCCCTCTTAATCCCTTCATTTATCTAATTTTTATATTAAAAATTATATTTGAAAATATTTTTCCTACCTCTTACCTATGTCTGTTGTAAAAATACTGTAACAATTATCTATTGGGTAGAAAGTTCCAACTGGATATGTCCCTGTGTTTGTTGTGTTGCTTATTCAGTAGCTGAGTGACGTCCACGTATTAGTGGAACAGTAAAAACCAGAAATAGAGTTAAGG